CTCTGCTCTCCTGTTCCAGCCCTGCAGGGCAGTACAAGCCACGCCCTTTGTGGCTTGTACTTTGCTCCTCCTGGGTGGGGATGAAGGCTGAGTCCTCCCACCTCCTGGAAACTCACCAACTGCTCAGCAATGCCAGGCCCCGAAGCTTCTCTGGTGCTGCTGGGCCCCACAAGGCCTAGGCATCTGCATTTGCTTCTCAGAGCAGCAGTAAGTGGAGGTGTTCCCAGAGCAGGGGCCTGTACTGTTCTCCCAGCTCCTGCCTGAAGTGTGGTGCCCAGTGCTGGATGCCCTCCAGGCCGAGGGATGTCCGTCTCGGTCCAGTGTTAACAGGAGCCATCCAGGCACCTGTGAATGTAACTCGGCACCTGTGGGTGGTACACACCCCCCATCCTGAGCACCATGTCCAGGAATTATGGTGATCGTATTAGCAATTTTCCATGGGTTTACAACAGGGGTCGGCAAACTACAGCTCCTGGGCCAAATCTGGCCCACTGTCTATTTTTGTAAATAAAGTTTTATTGAAACACACCTATGCCCATTCATTTACATATTGTCCGGAGGGCCTTAAATGGTTACTATCTGGCCCCTTACGGAAGTTTGCTGACCCCTGGTTTAGAAGGGACCTTAAACTTGGTCTGCCCTAACCCAGCCTTCCAAGTCCTTGGGTCTTGGCCCAAAGGCAGCGTCCCTCTGTCGGGCCAGATGTGGTGACCAGGAAGACGGGAGAACAGTGATCTTTGTTCAGTGAATGGAGCACAGGCTAGGAAATAAATGAAAGTGGAAATGCAGTGACGCCAGCGCCCTCAGGGTGGATCTTGGTGGCTGGAGCTACTGTCTCGGCACATGAGCTTGGAATCTTCAGGAAACAGGGCTGGGGAAGCGCCCGCCGGGCTGCAGTTCCGGGGGAGGTGGCGAGTCCAGCTCCTGGGGACCCACAGGAAGGGTGGATCTGTGCGGCCACATTTTAAAATAGAAGGAGGAGGACAGATGGATGGTTTCAGTGTTCCTGCACAGCAAGGAGGTGGCTAGGTGTGGACAACAGGAAGGTGGGAAGGCACTGTCATCTTTAACCATAGCCTGGACACAGGGCGGGTGACAGATGAGTCAAGAGTAGCCCCAGGGCCACCACAGTGATTGACCGCCTGGGTGGTGACTCAGATGGCAGAAGTGGCCGGGTGGGTGGGCCACATTCCCTAGGGTGCCCTTGTGAGGGAGTCACCCCACAGTGCTGCAGGCCCTTTACCTGCCTGCCCTGCCCAGGGAAAACGCCCCACCCTCTTTCCCCAGCCTCCCTCCTCCCAGGCCCTCCCTCCCACAGACCCCCACCCCTCACAGCCATGTGATCCAAGGCCTGGGCCGGGGTGCGGGGGTAGGGGGAAGGTGGGTGGAGGTGGAGGGGTGGCGGTTCGGGTTAGGTTTAGGGAGCTCAGCCCAGCATTGGTGTTGAGGACTTGCTGGGCCACCTGAGGTGATGGCATCTCAAAACTAGGAGAGCTTGTGGAACCGACCTGGACAGACAGACAGTGGATGTCCCACGTCGGGGTGAAACCACCCTTTTCTGGTGGCTCTTTCTGGGATGAGGCTGGCCCAGCCTCCAGGGACCCCCCGCTGCCGACACCACCATCCAGCTAATGCCTGCCCCAGCCCCACAGGGCTGTGTCTTAAGTGGAGTCGACGCAGGGCCCCGTCTTAAGCTCTGGCTGGTGGACCCCAGGCCAGCCTGTCCTTATAAATAAAGTTTTCTGGAACTCAGCCACACGCGTTTATTTATGTCCCGTCTGTGGCTGCTTTTGCACGACAACAGCAGAGACTGTCTGGCCCTCAAAGCCAGGCATTTACTATCTCGCCCATTTCAGAAAAAAACTGATCTCTGGTCTCGCTGAGACAGGCATTCTGTGTGTTCAGGCCTGGGTTTATTAGCCTGAGAGCTCCCTCCCCTCCCTCCGCTCCCTCACTGTCCTTCCCCGTCTCACCCCACTTCACCCTTTCTCCCCCTCTGAGGTGTTGCTCTCCTCACCTCTTCCCCCCTCAACCTCCCTGTTATGGTCCCTCCTAGCATTTTCAGTTACCTGCTAGAGGACCCCTCCCCGCCACCTTTCTCTCCCACTCTCCCCTCCCTCCCCCAGCCTCCTCCCCACTCTTCCCACCTGCTCCCACACGTGGAGAGAGGGCGGATCTTCCATGACAGACGAGATCCCAGGAGAAAGGTCCTCCCTGCTGCGACAGTTGAGCGGCAGGGGGGCTGCGGAGGGGCTACGCTGCAGGAAGCGTGACATGAACTAGCTCTCTTAGAAAGTAATTCGCGCCCCGTCCTCCCAGAGAGCTGACCTCTGTGCCCACAAGACCCTGCGGAATTGAGAATATGGAGAGGTTCCTGGGCACCAAGCTGGAGGGGGTGTCCAGACAGAGATGGGGGTTGTCCTCTTCGCCCCTACTCTTTGCAGCTCTGACCTCCAGAGCCGCCTCGGCGCGGCCTTCCTACAGCTCAGAAAATGCTCCAGTGGAGGTTGGGGAAGAGGGGAATTCAGGGAAGGCCACACTGGCGCCACATCAGACCTAACTCTCTCCCGCTCCCGCAGCTTGAGGCGCAGGCCCCAGAGCCACGGGGTGCCCCTCTGCAGCAGCATAGAGGGAGTCCTAGAGGTTTCAGTGGCTCCCAGGAGAGGAGATGGAACTGAAAGCTTGAAAATGGGATTTTCCTGGGAGATCATGGATGTGAGGTCACAGTATTCACAGAACTTTCTGGAACCAAGGCGGCCCTCCAGGCTGCAGAGGGTGCACCTCCGCTCTAATGGTTTTGCAGACACGACACAAGGAGTCCTACCCTGTCTCTGAAGAGATGACCGTGCCCCTGAGATCAAAACTCTGTCTGTGGCTGGGCGTGGTGGCTCACGCCTGTCATCCCAGCACTTTGGGAGGCCGAGGTGGGTGAATCACCTGAGCTCAGGAGTTCGAGAGCAGCCTGGACAACATGGTGAAACCTGGCCTCTACTAAATAGAAAAAATTAGCTGGGTGCGGTGGTGGGCGCCTGTGATCCCAGCTACTTGGGAGGCAGAGGCAGGAGAATCACTTGAACCCAGGAAGCGGAGGTTGCAGTGAGATGAGATCGCGCCATTGCACTCCAGCCTGGGCAACAAGAGCAAAACTCCATCTCAAAAAAAAAAAAAAAAGAACCCTCTGTCTCACATCAGAAAGGGGAGGGCGAGAAGCATGACCTGGCCCCTGAGATAAGGGGGTCGGGGCACCAAGGGTTCCCACATGGGAAGGTTCTGCCAGGACCAAACTTCCTGGAGGCCTGGCCACCCCGGGGACAGGGTCTCGTGGGGCCTCTTCCCAGCTGAGAGGGAGCTGGAGGCCAGCCCCACTGCAGAGCCTGGCCTGGCTGGCCCCACACTGAACGGGGAGGCCAGCCCTTGGAGATTCCTGGATTTCCCTGTGTCTGGGAGCCCACGGCCTCCCCCATCCCGGGTTCCTTTGGATTCTCTTTGTCTCCTTTACTTGGGCACCCTAGTAACAAGCGACCCAGCATGACTCTCTCCCGGCAGCCAAGGCTCCGATGGCCTACCGCCCAGGCACCCCCTGCAGGCTCCTTTAGTACCGTTTCTTCAGCCAGGAGCCTGCCTTGCCCCTAGCCTGGTGGATCCTGGGAGCCTGACCTCAAACCAGGCTGCTCTCCCTGGCCTCTCTGGTCCCTTCCAGAGACCAAAGAGGCTCTTGATGGCAGAAAGAAACTTCTCTCTTGAACGAGGCTCAAATCTTCTGCTGCCTTCTCCTCCTTGGATAGAACTCTTCCTGACCAGCACTTTGGGAGGCCAGGCCAGGTGGATCACTTGAAGTCAGGGAGTTCAAGACCAGCCTGGCCAACATGGTGAAACCCCGTCTCTACTAAAAGTACAAAAATTAGCCAGGCATGGTGGTGGGTGCCTGTAATCGTAGCTACTCGGGAGGCTGAGGCAGGAGAATCACTTGAACTCAGGAGGTGGAGGTTGCAGTGAGCCGAGATCACACCACTGCATTCCAGCCTGGGTGACGGGGCAAGACTCTGTCTCAAAAAATAAAAAGAATTCTTCCTGGGCTGCCAGTGGAGAGGATGGGGTAGATGATGCAGTGAGATCTCTCCCCCATCCCGGAGTCCCTGTTCTCCCTCCTGAAGGACCCGGGGAATGGTGAGGCCAGAGAGGGAACGAGGCATCTTAGCGTTGGACTCTCCTCCCTAGACGTGCTGTTGAGACCCAGAGGGCGAAACCCTGGCTTCTAGTTGAAGGGTGTGGGCAGGAAAAAGAGGTGGTCAGTCATCTAAGAACTCCTGGGGGTCGGGGGATGAGCCCCCCATGCTGTCTGAATCGAGGCCTGCCCTTGAGAAGAATGTTGCTGGCGGAGGAGGCTCCTGGGGCCCTTCCCGCCAAGCGTACACAGATGCCTGAGTTGAACCGTCTGACTGCACCAGAGAGCCCTTCTCTGGAGTGAATTGGTGGTGCGTCTGCTGGAGGTGGCTGTGACAGAGACAGAGACAGGGAGGAGGAGCTGGGATTGGCATCCTCACAGCCTCTGCTGCTACCTGGGGCTCCACTTCCCCTCTGAACAGCAAGGCAAAGGCCAACCACCTCCCTCTGTTTTGACCAAGCAGATGCCCACTGTCGTGGCTGAGTCCTGGTTCTGTGACACCATGGCCTGCCGTCCTGTGGAACCCTGATGAGGTATTTGGTGGGCATCAGCCGTATGCCTGCACCCAACACAGATGAGGGTGATGCGCAGCCCCCAAGCCCCCCTTTCCGTGCAGTCTGCCGGGTGGACGGACAGCCCCTTTCCTTTGTGACAAACTAGCCAGGGAACGGGGGATTTCATTCCACGCCAAGACTCCAGCCTGTCCATGTCAGGCGTGACGGAGCCCAGGTGCAGGCTGCCGGGACGTGCTGATGTGGTCGCCTCGACCTCCGGGTTAACTTTCCCCTTCATCCCGCAGCCCTACTCACCGGTTGTTTGTCTTTCCGTCCATTAGGCAATACTGAACGCTGTGCAGCTTGCAGAGGTCTCCTGGCAGCCCGCCTTAGGAATTCTGTCTGGCCCCGATCAGAATACTGGAGACGAGACCACGAGATTGATGAGTTTGCCTTGGGAGTCGGCGAGAAGGTGAAACCAGGGCGAACATGGGTCAGAAGGTCACTGGAGGGATCAAGACTGTGGACATGAGGGACCCCACGTACCGGCCCCTGAAGCAGGAGCTCCAGGGTCTGGATTACTGCAAGCCCACCCGGCTGGATCTGCTACTGGACATGCCCCCTGTGTCCTACGACGTCCAGCTGCTGCATTCGTGGAACAACAACGACCGGTCGCTCAACGTCTTCGTGAAGGAAGACGACAAACTCATCTTTCACCGGCATCCGGTGGCCCAGAGCACAGACGCTATCAGGGGCAAAGTCGGGTATACCCGTGGGCTGCACGTGTGGCAGATCACATGGGCTATGAGACAGCGGGGCACACACGCCGTGGTGGGGGTGGCGACGGCAGACGCCCCCCTGCACTCGGTCGGGTACACTACCCTCGTGGGGAATAATCACGAGTCCTGGGGCTGGGATTTGGGGCGCAACCGGCTCTACCATGATGGCAAGAACCAGCCAAGCAAAACATACCCAGCCTTTCTGGAACCAGATGAGACATTCATTGTCCCTGACTCCTTCCTGGTAGCCCTGGACATGGACGATGGGACGCTGAGCTTCATTGTGGATGGACAGTACATGGGAGTGGCTTTTCGGGGACTCAAGGGCAAAAAACTGTATCCTGTAGTGAGTGCCGTCTGGGGCCACTGTGAGATCCGAATGCGCTACTTGAACGGACTCGATCGTAAGTGTCCCCTCTGCTGTCAGAGGCAATGCGCTCTCTCTGTCCCCATGGTCCTGGCTGGGCTTAGGCCGAAAGTTGATACAGTCATTGGAACTAAGGTGTTTTAAAGTTGATATTCCAGTGTATTCAGAGGCAACTTTTGCATCTGGTTAAGTGAGGAATTCTACCCAGAGTCTGCTAGATTACCTAACGGTGCCTCATGAATGAATGGACAGATGGATGGATGATGGATGATGAATGAATAGGTGGATGAATGATTGGTTGGATGGATGGATGATGAATGGATGGATAGATGAGTGAATAATGGATGGATGAGTGGATAATGAATTGATAGATTAATAGATTAATGTTTGGATTGATAGATAAGTGGTTGAACAAAAGGATGGATGGATGGGTGGATGGGTAGGTAGGTGGGTGGATGAGTGTTTAGATTGATGGATGGATGAGTGGATGAAAAAGTGGATGGATGAATGAGTGGATGGATAAATGAATAGATGGATGGGTGGGTGGGTGGATGGATGGATAAATGAACAGATGGATGAGTGGGTGGATGGATGGATGGATAAGTGGGTGGATGGATGAGTGAGTGGATGGATGGATGGATGGATGGATAAATGACTGGGTGGATGAGTGGGTGGATGGATGAGTGAACAGATGGATGGATGAGTGGTGGATGGATGGATGGATGAGTGGATGGATGGATGGATAAATGAACAGATGGATGGGTGGGTGGGTGGGTGGATGGATGGATAGATGGATGGATAAATGAACAGATGGATGAGTGGGTGGATGGATGAGTGGATGGATGGATGGATGGATGGATGGTTGGTTGCATGGATGGATGGATGGATGGATAAATGAATGGGTGGATGAGTGGGTGGATGGATGGATGGATGAGTGGGTGGATGGATGAGTGGGTGGATGGATGGATGGATGGATGGATGGATGGATGGATGGATGGATGGTTGGATGGATGGATGGATAAATGAATGGGTGGATGAATGGGTGGATGAGTGGGTGGGTGGATGGATGGATGGATGGATGGATGGATGGATGGATGGATGGATGGATGGATGGATGGTTGGATGGATGGATGGATAAATGAATGGGTGGATGAGTGGGTGGATGGATGGATAGATGAGTGGGTGGATGGATGAGTGAACAGATGGATGGATGAGTGATGGATGGATGGATGAATGAGTGGATGGATAGATGGATGGATAAATAAATGAACAGGTGGATGGGTGGGTGGATGGACGGATGGATGAGTGAACGGATGGATGAGTGGATGGAAAGCAGATAGACTAATGAATTGATGGATAAATGGATAGATGGATGAATTAATGAGTAGGTGGTCTTTGTTTCTCTGGGTGACCTGCCTCCAGGTTTGATCCTCAGTTGACCAAATTCTAGCCCAGTTGCCAGCATATTATCAAGCTGGGGTTGGTAACCTTGGGGATACTAGGGCCTCTCCGGTAAATGAACGCTAGTGACCTCTCTCACTCATTACACAGGCTTAGAGTCTCTCAGAAGCCTGCTGGAGGCTTCTGAGTGGGCTCCTTTGAGATACAGTCCCGAGGGACTTGTTCAGTCATGAATTTGGGGAGGAGCACGCAGATCAGAAACAGGCTGAGTCAACAGCGAACTCCACCTGTCCCTTTGGGAAGGGGAGTGGACTTTCTCAGACTGTGTAAATGCAGCCCATGTGCAGGAACACTGTGCTGGTGTGGGAATGGAGGCTCCATGGCTGCCCAGCTGGGAGCCCGTGGTAGCAGGAGGGCCTGGCATTGCAGAACAGCTCACCCCATGCATGGCCCTCTCTCAGAGCTCCTTGCCTGCATGAGTCCCTTCTACCGCCTGCAAGTCCCACATCGGGAAGCAAGGGGGCTGGAAAACTCCATCCGCCCATGGGCTGACTGTCCTTAAAGGGCAGTTTTGGCTCAGCACCCTGAGTTCTAACCCCACCCTGCAGGCCAGGCAAGAGGCAGAGGTGGGTGAGGCCCCCCACCAGAGGTCAGGAATACAGATGCTGACTCTGTGTTCAAGTCTCCAAGCCTGCAGTTTCTCCTGGAGAAGGAGGTCCTCCTCCTGTTCCTCCTCCCCCACCTCAACCTTTGAAAGATACTGGGGAAAGTGTTGGGGTGGTCAGGCATGTGCAAATGCTTACATATTTCTCTTTGGAAGCCTCCCCACCTCTCTTTTTCTTGGTCCTCTGCTGTGACTTTGACCGTGACGGCAGCGAGTTGACAGCCACACACGACGTCTGTGGTGCAGGCTCCCAGGGCTGCTTGGTCCTCGTCCATGCAGCCTGGTGCCCCTAGGTCATGGGACTCCTGGAAGAGGTGGGTGGCCGGGTCTGCAGCCAGCAGGTAACCTCCCTGGGGAAGTAGTCACCTCGGAACTGAATGAGGGAACCAGCAGAGTGAGTTCCGTGTTTGTCTCCCCAGGTGTCAGAAATGAGTGGCACCACATCCACAGCCAATTTGCCTCAAGCTGGGATGGGTGTGGATTGGGAGCCCTGCCCAGGACCTAGGATCTTGAGGAGCCCTGGCCCTCAGCCCTGCCTCCCTCCTCCCAGCCAAGGGGTGGTCACGGAGCCAGGGAGGTTAATGTTCATTCTTTGCAGACAGACAGATGAGGAGACTGCCAGGCCTGCTCTTGTTGCCTGACCACTGAGACCGTGGGGGATCCATGAAGATTTCCAGCCCTGTGTCTTTCAGGAAATGCCCCCGATACTGTCATGAGCTCTGGGTTTGCACAGCTTCATGGTTATATATCCCAGCTCCAATACAGTACACAGACCCCCAGAGTGGCCGGGAGGGCACTGGAGCCTATTTGAACAGAGAGTTCCGCCCACCCACTCCTGGAGGTGCAGACGCGTGTCCTGTGAATAGGTGATTTCCTGCTTAGTTAGCTCTGCGTAAGACGGAAGGTTGGATGCGTTCGTAAGTTTCCTTGTTTGGAAAATCCTAAAGGTGTTGGGTGAGCAGGGGATACGAGATTGGGAATCAGTATTTGGGAACCGCATCTGTGAACTGGAATCTGGATGGCCACTCAGAGCATCACAGCAGGGCACTATTAGTCAATGACGAGGATGTTTTTTCCTCTCCACCAGAATCAGATGCCCAGCAAGTCCTGCTCAGACATGAACGGGCCCTGGGCCACGTGGTCAGTTGACTTTAGAGGCTCCAGATTGGAAAATAGATGTGGTCGTTCTTGGGACACTGAGCAAAACGCTGGAGGGTGGAGCACTGTCACAGCTCCGCTGCAGCGTGGCGATAGCAGGAGGTGCGGGAGTTAGCGCTGCCAGCCTCAACCCGCTTAACCCGACACCTCCGGGCGCTTATTGAGGCAGCATCTTGTGTTTTAGAAGTGTCTTTCTGCGGCTGGGCCTGGTGGTTCACACCTGTAATCCCAGCAGTTTGGGAGGCCGAGGCAGGTGGATCACGAGGTCAGTAGTTTGAGAGCAGCCTGCCAACATGGTGAAACCCCGTTTCTACTAAAAATGCAAAAATTAGCCGGGTGTGGTAGTGGATGCCTGTAATCCCAGCTACTCGGGAGGCTGAGGCAGGAGAATTGCTTGAACCCAGGAGGTGGAGGTTGCAGTGAGCCAAGATTGCACCACTGCACTCCAGCCTGGGCAACAGAGCAAGACCCCATCTCTGGGGAAAAAAAGAAAAAAAGTATCATTCTGGCTGCTTTATAGAAATGGACGGCAGGGGCAAGAGTGGTCTCTGAGAGGCCAGGCCAGGGAGGAGCCAGGCTTGTCCTGGCAAGAGGTGATGGGTGCTTGGGCCAGGATGGAAGCCGCGGAGGTGGGGCAGGGCCGCCCAGTTCCGGGACTCTTTGGAATGGGTTCATCCATGGACTCGATGTGACGAGAAAGGGAAGCACCAAGGTGACTCGAGGTGTTTGGGTTGAGCAGTTGGAAGGTGGGGGCTGCTGACCCGAGATGGGAAGGCCCGAAGGAGGAGGAGATGTTACATTTGAGACGCTTCTTCGACACATCCAGGGGGCCCTGTGAGCCCAGTCTTGGAAAGCGGTCAGTGGGGGAGTTGTCTGCATATAGGCGGCTTCAGAGCTGCCACCCTGGGCGAGGTCTGGGGCTTTGCTGTCTCTGTCTTGGAGGTGGAGGTAGTTCCAACTCCCTGGGACATGTGGAGAGTCATCAGTGTCCCTGCCACACCTGGGTTCGATGTTAGCGAGGGGCAGCTGTTTGCAGGGCCGCTCAGGCAGTTACCCTGCGTGTGTGCCTGCCCGGGGATCTCCCAGCCCACTGCCCCCTGTGGCCTCTTTCCTGCATGCCAGGCAGACCCCGCCCCCCACAGCAGAGTCCCTGCTTCCACACTGAGGCCATGGCCGGGCAGAAGCAGGGGCACTGAGTTCTTGACATTTCCCCGTGCGGTCTCCCCACTGCCCAGCCAGCTGGGGCCACAGGCCCCATGCTCTGATTCCTCCTCAAGGCTTGAGGCACAAGGCCTTGTTGTGCTGAGGATGCAGCCAGAGAGGCTGCTGTGTCATCCTCCTTCTCTTTCCTGGGGGGCAGGAGTGGAGATGGCCATTGCTAAGTGGGGAGACACAGGGCCTGGCCTGTCCCCAGGCCTGCCCGCCACCCTCCCTGGAGATGTGGAAAGGCCTGTTTGCAAGCAGCAGGCTGGCAGCAGTCCAGGGAGAGCCCCTGACCTCGCGGGTTCTCTGGCTCCACCCGCACTGCTTTGAAGACTCCCACTGAGGAGGCATCTTCCGTGCAGTTCCGCATTTTCGAATTTTCTTTAATGGCTCCCACATGGGTTTGCTGTGGTTTGTCGTGGTTGAAGGTTCAGGGAAGGTCAGCTCGTCTCCTCAAGATCAGCGCCTCCTCCCGGGTGCCTCCTTCCTGCCCTCCACTCCAGCCGGGCTCTGCGGGGAGCTACTCCTCAGGAGACTGATACCCCCGCCACCAGGGCTGGCTGGCCTGCTGGCCTGCGTGCCCGCCCTCCCTCCCTTCCTTCCTTCCATGT